GTACCCCTGAGATACTCTGAAATTAAAATAAATAAATAAATAAAGCTCCCTCTTTGTATTTTTTTCCAGCTGTTAACATCAGTAGTAAAATGTCCTCCTCTATATCTAAATATTGCCTTAACTTGATGCAACAAATAGAACAAAAAAGTTAAGTACATACACTGATGCTCTATTATTTTTTTTAATTTACCTGATGTTCTATTTAGTTATATCTGAAGTGATAGTATCTTCCTTTAAATTAAAGGTGCAACTACATTTTTTGCTGAGATTAGATAAAAAGTACGAGAAGAAGGACCAAAAATATTTGTACAAAAACATAAAAAATCCTATATTTTGTTGATCTCAAATTGGATATTTATGTTTGTTGCTTGCATAACTGTACACCTGACAAATGTGTATCCCTTTTCTGAAGAACTTCAGTATTGAGTGACTTGTAGAACTATGTAATTTTACCATTCACAATTCATTTTTCTTTTCCATTTACTTATCTGTCAAAAAAATGTTTTACCTAAAACACCAATTTGGTATGAAGCCAAGTTTCTTATATGAACCTTAATTCAATAGGTCAGCTACTCTAAATCCTTCCAGACAGACCATAATCTATCTTTTGAATAGTGTAGTCATGTGCAAGTTCAGATTTAGGAAGGCTTTCTATAAAGTCATAAACTTTAAACAGGGTAATCTCTTTATTATCTGAACAAAACCTGTATCTGTGATTATACTTTATGTACCTAACCTCAGGACAGTAGAATTTGTAGTTCACCTCACCACTTCATTGATTCATGCTGGTGCATTAGATCGGGAGATGAGAGTATGATCTAGAGCCACATGAAATGCCATACCACACATATCAGGGGCTTCATCAGAGTTGTCTCCACAGTCGTCTTCTCCATCGCACACCCAGAAATGTAGTTTGCAAAGGGAATTATTGCAAAGGAACTCATCGGCTCTACATATATTTCCTCCTTTATTTTAAAACAAAAAGAGATACATAAATTGAACATAATCAATTCCAGTCAGCAGGACACATATTCCTCTAATTCTTATACACAATATTTAGTTTCTTGCTGCCTTGTATTTATTCCCTGCATAATAATAGGAACAGGTAAGATCCAATTTTTGTAGAAAAGGTATTCAGTAAATGGTGCTGGGAAAATTGGACAGCCACATGTAGAAGACTGAAACAGGATCTGGATCTCTCAACT